ATTCTCATCCATTCCCTTCCATTCTCATCCATTCCATCCATTCTCATCTATTCGAATGCCCGCGAATGAGTTTTTTCCCCCTTGATCGAAATGCTAGAAAGAAGACTCTTTTTCTTCATCAATCATACTATTCGCATCGACCAGTTCTTCTTGGCATACTCTTGATCTTGGAGAATAGTACTACTGGATAAAATTCTAGAAAACGATAAATCTAGATATGTAATATATATAGTGTAAATATCAACCTCGTTCATTCTAAGAATATGTAAGGCAACAGAGCTAATGTTACATCCTGTATATTAATAAGTGTTTTACAATAAATTTTTCTCAAGCATGACAGCTAACGCATAAAATGAGAAGAATCGTAGCCATTCTATGTATCTAATAAGTTTATTTTCTCTTACAATTTCTTTAAATATATACACGTTTCAAAAAAATCAATCTTTGTTGTACTCTCATAAAAGAAAATATTTTTAGAAAAAAATGTATTGAGAAGAATTTCTAAGTTTATCAACAAATTATTCACCTCTGAAATGGTTCTCTCATAAGATCATTTACGTAGGCTATTGAAATTGGTTTTCTCTTTGCTTTGAAATGAAATAGCCGAAGAAATATTAGCTTTTTACAAAACAGTTTTCGTACTGATAAAATTTATTTTTCACTGCTAAATATTGGAGAGAAACAAAAAACATTTGAAATAAATGAGAAAATTGTTCTCCAGAATTAAAAGTCTTTCAAATTACAGATCATTTCGTCCGTGAACCCGCATAATTTGGTCGAAAATTTTTTCGTGTATGCACAAATAAAATCGTATAGAGGTGATGTCACTGTTTCACAAACAATACAATCTAATGCCACAGCAACATCCAAAATTGAGTTCGAGAAAACCAAAAGAAAAAAATATGACATATGTAATTTTTTATTTTTGATTTTGGGTGGGTGTGGACGTAAGTGTCAGCGTAAAGCAGAAAACATCCACATTCACACCTACATCCGAACTCAAAAAAATGACATTTTTATCTATTGAGCGACAATTTCTATGTAAACTATTTCGTGATTATGATAACAGAAAAGATTGTCAATAAGTTTTACTGATTTTATATTCTCTTCAAATAACATGAAATATTGATTACACCTTTTGTAGAACAATCATTTAATGAACCTAGAGAGCGGCGTTAAATATTTGCAAATGTAGGAAGAACTAAAAGTTTTCAATTAGAAAAAGGAAATAGACAAGAATGGACGATAATTTTAACAAAGAAAAATTATAGTCTAAATACCGTATTAATTACCATTGGTCATAGAGAACAATGAAAAGTATTTTCACACACTTTGAATTTTATTAGTATGAACCTTTAAAAAAAATTTCTTTTGTAAAACTTTTCTCCATCAGATGCTTATTAATATAAACGGTCGACAAATAAGAATATTATAAAACTTTATATTTCATGAAGATGTTTTAATATAGTTTTTGATGAAATTTATGTAATATTTTTACAAATTACAACGTATTCTCAATAATTAATCAATCGCATCACTAGAAAGAAATAATAAATATATTAATTATTTTATCATTCAAAATAAAACCTTTTGATCTTTATTTATTGTTTATAGAAATATGTGATTGAGAATCTTTTATATTTCATTCATTTTTGACTAAAAAAAAATCCCTTGACATATGTTCCAGCCCGAAAACAACGTCGAACATTTGTTTGTTTTTTTTTTTGTTTAATTATTGTTGTATATAAGATGTCTTTCAACAAATAAATCATGTCAAACCGAACAAATTATTGATTATTTTCATATATCAACTATTGATTTCAGTGAACAATCCATCGAGATTTTAAATGCTAATCAACGTATAAATTATATTAAGCGTAATATTCAACTACAGAAGAAATTTTACTTGAATAATATCATATTCAATTGAAAGATTCATCGATTTATCCAAAAATTTTTCTTATTGATTTAGCTAATCTTTGTGAAACAGTTAGAAATCTATCACAAGCTAAACTAGATTATAGACAAAATCATCATTATAAAGAATTTTATACCAGATTATGAAATTAATTTAATTAAAAGTAATCGAGAGACAGCGTATTCTGTTTCATTCTCTTTTTTTATTTCACTCCATGGCTTGTTGAATTGCTTTAATAGAATATAATCGGAACAGAATCAAAAATTTATTTTCGTTATTTGATTGATAAAACAGTAATGTCAATCTTGAAACGTAATTTCAATTGAAATGTCAACTTCCAACTTTCAAGCTCCTTTCACAGCATCCACACCAGTTGCAATTATATGTGTGCGAGAGACTCTATGTGTGAATCGTGATTCTTTAAATTGTTGTCGGTTTGAAAGTTGTAACTTGAATTCATGCTTCAAATTTAACATATATGTAAGATTGTTCAACGTGAATATCGGTTGCTAACGCCATATTTTACTTGTCTTCGGTGTGAAACCATACTCATCTTTGCAGTCTTTTTATCGATGAAAAAATATTTTATGTTTAAAATTAATTTATATATCAACAGATAGATCTTAACTTGCTCTACAACATAATATATATGACATATCTCCTTAGCTTCAATATACAAGCGAAAACGTCAGAATACAGTATTCTTTTAGCAATTTCAATTGGCTTCATTTTTCAGTATTTTGTACATATGTCTTGCTCAAAAATCAATTATAAGAAAAAGATTTTATTGCATTATCTAACCCATTTAATTCTACACTGAGTCATATATTTGGCATTGTTTAAAAATGTTCGAAAGTTGAAAAAATAGTGGTACTTGAATATCAACGGCTGATACTATATTTCAGTTATTTTGTCTATAGCATGCATTATATTATATGATATTATATTTCTCTTTTTATTTTTTTCATCGAAGTTTTATCTTTCTTATCTCGAAACACAGTGATTTTCTAGTCTAGCAAACTTCTTTCTCTTTCAATATCTTAATTAGACGGCTACATTAAGAAGTGATTGCCAATAATATAATTTAGTCATATTGCAGCCCGTTTAATTCCGCATTAAGTGATATATATATAAGATATTATATTGAAACGTCCGAAAAAAATGCTATTCAGACTCAATGGGTGAGGCCTAATATTGTACTGATTCATTATGTAAACTTAACTGTCGTACTGTAATTTCTTATATCTTGAAATTATGTTTCTGTTTAGTTTTTATCAAAACTAGACTATGCTATGTTAGTTGATATTATCAATTATGATGATTACAATATCTAACCTGGATCTACCGAAGAAAAAGAAAGCTGGATTATGTTAATAAAGAATATAAGACAATATACAGAAATATGTCTAGTCCCAGGAACGATTGTACAGCAATTCAATAGCTTAAAGCTGATCATGCGAAACTGTTTCAATGCATAATCGTACAATCAATAACATCATATGTTCAATTATTTTCACTTTTACTATTTGATCATGAAATAGAGAAAATTAATATAGTTCTGATTCTTGAACATATCGTATTAAAATTTTCTACAATGATCGTTAGAAATTGCAATATCCATTTTGGCTACACCTTCGACACCTTTCATAGAAAGTGTTTAATCGATTTCATATAGATATCTAAAACTATCAACTTAAGAAAATAAGGAAAGAATAGATCATATCAGAAATAAACGATGACAATCTAATAAAAACAAGATATACGTTTATGAATATCAAAGTGAATGTCTATTATCCCAAGTAAATCATTGTTCAACATAATCTACTATTTAATAAATCCATTGAGTAGCTAGATTTGGATGTACCCTGGAAATAACGAATCTTATCTATATTAACTAAAAACAATTAACATTTTGTAGGGAATTAAAATAGAGATTTTTTGAAAAAATAAAATGTAAATAAAAGAACATTAAAAGATATATGATTGAAGCATTGAGAAATTTATCCTTCCTGAGACAATGATTGTTACATCAGATAATTCTTCTGCTCTTTTTGTGTTTGATGCAAGCCTTCCATCATAGAGAGTAAATCAAATTCTACATTTTATTAATTCTCATATTCAGTATGATCACCATTTTCATGTTGTTTTACAATTAAAAAATATCACACACAGAAAAAAAAGATAGGTAAAATCTTGTTCATTTTTTTTCTCGATACAATTTCCTTCTTTAGTAAAAAGACATCAGGAAAAAAACACAAGAAAAAAATATATAAAAAAAATGCGAGAAATTAATTACCATCAGGATACGAATACACATGAAATTGAGCAGATGAAAAAATAACATCGTTTTTTTATAAAATTATGTAGATTGAGTTGTTACCAAGATGATTGTTGATTAAAATCTATAAAAATAAAAAATAGAGATTTATATTCAACTACAAGATGATTCACAATATATGAATCAAAAACTACAATATCATTTGGATATGAATAGAGAGCTTAGCACGTGATGAACGCTGTAAATTCTTACCCAGAAGATTAGAACCATATATCAATAAGTAGTTGTGCCATAAATTACCAGAACTTTTCAACATATACTCAGTAGGGGTGTCAACTTTGCGTTCCGTTCCTACGAACGGGGAACGCAACATACGTTTCTCTCACTTTTGACAGAAACTACCAATTCACCGAAGGAAAGCCAATTTCATAAGAATTAGGGGTATCAACGTTCCCCGTTCCTCAGCGTTCCGTTCCTAGGAACGGGAACGCAACATACGTTTCTTTCACTTTTAACAGAAATTTTACTAATTCACCGAAGGAAGGCCAATTTCATAAAAATTAGGGATGTCAACGTGCCACGTTCCTCAGCGTTCCTAGGAACGGAACGCTGAGGAACGGGAAACGCTGACACCCCTAATATACTCCGTATAATTTTGATATAATAATTTCGACGATATTTGAAAAATAATTTCCATAGCCGTAGTTCTCTACGAACAGAAGGCAAACAATTGAATTAAATTAATTAAGAGAAGATCTTACCTGCAACTTTGTGAAAAATAAGAACTAAAAAAACATATTTCATTTATATAACAGTCATGATAAAAATTGACTTAACTTACCAAATCCAACCAATATAAAAAAAAGTTTTCGTCGTCTACCTGATGAATTATCCGTTGATGATCTTCTTGATCTTGATTGTGGAAAACTTGATGGTGATGGAAAATTTGATGGTGATGAGAAACTTGATGATGACGAAGACGTTAATGGTACTGAAGATGTTGATGATGGTGAATGTGTTAATGGTGATGAACTTATTGATGATGATGTAGATATATTTAAACCATACTCATCAGTAGTTGTATCAGTCACTTTTTGTAAACAATTCTAAAAAAAAAGTATTCAACTATAAATATCTCATGTTATTTTTAAAAATTTTGTTGCGTTTTGGTTTTACTTACATTATCAAAATATTTAATATTTCTGGCATTCCTTGTCATCTGAAAATAAAATATATTATAACCATAAAATTGTCAGAGAGAATGAAAATGAAACTGGAACTTAATAGTAAAATAAACAAAAAAAAAACATAATAGTTATACACAAAAGACGAAAAAGAAACTGTTCACATATATCAGAGTCATTCTTTTTCCTAGTCGTCAAATATTTGTTATTCATGTTATAAATTATATGTTTTTTCCCAACTCTCTCTCTGTCCTTTCTTAGATTACCAAAACAACGTTTTGCAGCTATTTCGTGATGTACGATTTCTGTCGAGCTAAGCTGCATTTGAACTTTTGTCAGAATTAAGAAATAATAAAAAATCTGAGACTGTTCAGACTGAATTCTCTTTAAGGATACGTCAATCTATGCATTTGTTTCCTATTGACTTGAAAGTACCATTGCAAGCAATAGATCGATAAAAAAATAATCTTAAAATGCATCCTGAAGCATATATATCAGACAATAGACAATATTCAATCACGGGTCAACGTAGATTACTATAAATCCTACAACATCTAGAGACCACTAAGATTCCATCTTTTCTGTTATTATCGAGTCTATGTATACTTCCATTAATGCGAGTTTGAATTGAGATCGATGCCGAAGGAGCAAGTGATATGCTTATAAAAAAAACGTCTTCCATGTTCTTAGTTGAATTAGTTGCAATTTTCTGAGATTGAGTTGGTTCTTTCGTGAAGTAAAACGTAAAAGTTGAAGTAAACAGATATATACATTATCACACCTTTTCTTACAGACTGTAACCGATATTGTACAGTATACTATCATACACATTCTAACATTGATCGTCTCTCCTATCATCATAGACCTTACCCTACACATTACATTAACTAAACTATATATCACAGACCATGACAGATAACTTAGTAACATCTTTGCTTCGTCACAAATCATAAAAGATATACGGAAAAATCCCTCAATGATTACTCTAATAGCTTTTGTTTTTAAAGACTCATAACAATACTAAAAATAATTTATGCTATTTCAAAAGAAATATATACCCCTATAGTATCTGTAAAATTGATAGCCACTGTAGTAAATACTACTCCCAGTATATCCACAGTATTTTTGAAAAAACAACGATGTGAATAAGAATTTTCTTTATCAATGATATCACCAGTAGCAAACTCTTCCCTTACAATATCTTCTATCATAGCATTTCAATATTCTTTCTTGTTTAATACGATTATGTTGTATATGAATTGCTTAATACAAAGGCGACGAAATACAGAAACAATAAGCTAAAGATTCAGTTCCATTAATTATATTCGATTTTTCTTCAAGAATTTACAAAATTTATATATCATATGAAATATCTAATTTGGTTAGTATAAACTATTTTTGTTGTTTGTTTAATATACCAACATACAGTAACGACATCTACATCGACCTTCTCATACATGAATTATACCTTAACTAATTTA